TGTTTTCTTGATCTTGTAAAACAATTAGGGAATGCGTATTTCATTAAAAGAACATGTTAAGCTGCTGACCTGTTTAACTTGATCACCTTGTCACAGGTTCCATCTGTGTTTCTTGTCTACATAGAACGCAGGCTTTTGCGAATCATGGTTCCTATTCTTATTGTGTCTTGCAAGGTATTTCTCTAGCCCAGAGTTGGGGCAACACAGTGGTTAGCGCTTCTGCCTTGCAGCACTAAGGCCCCATTCACACCTATGCGTATTGTAATATGCGCGTCTGTCGCACGACCGCCACGCGGTTTTTACCGCGATTCGCGGTAAAAAAGTTGCGCGACCGTCGCGCGATTCCAAAGGCTACTTGGCAGTATCCAAATGGAAAACGCCCTACAAAACGGACCAATACGCAGCAAAAACGCTCCGGGACCTTTTCATGCGTGGGCCGTTTTGTAGTGCGTTCGGGACGGGCGGAAATACGGACAGGTGGGAACGATACCATTGACTACAATGCTATTTATTTTTTTGACCGTTTTGTAGAGCGTTCATCGAGCGTAGGACGCGCTACAAAACGGTCAGGTGTGAATGGGGACTGAGGGTCCCTGGTTCAAATCCAAGCCAGGTCACTATCTGCAAGGAGTTTGCATGTTCTCCCTTGCGTGGGTTTCCTCTGGGTACTTCGGTTTCCTCCCACACTCCAAAGACCTGTTGGTAGGTTAATTGGCTCCTGTCTAAAGGTGCCCATACACCTTACGATTATCGGACTATTTTCGTATATGCGATCGACTTTTCGGCCGAAATGTGTGCATTGCAGTGTCTGACCGACAGTACTGTATAATCGTACGACTTTTGACGGTCAAGCATGTTTGAAAACTTTGCTAGATCGTACGATTGTCGTAAGGTTGCTGGCGTTTCCGTCCGTCAAGAGTCGTACGACCTACCCTGCGCTTGCGCTAACCAAAATACGGCAAATCAATTACCGCATTTCGTCCAGGTGCTTTTTGTTCATTACGGCTAAATTAATCTTGCGATCATAGGGGCAGGATGGGGCTGCCGTACGAAAATCGTACAACTATTTGATCATCGGACGGAAAGTTTCGTCCGATAATCGTAAGGTGTATGGGCACCTTTTAGTTTGCCCTCTATGTATGCATGTGAGATAGGGACCTTAGATTGTAAGCTCCTTGAGGGTAGGGACTGATGTGAATATGCAATTATGTAAATTGTCGGTGCTATATAAAAACTGGTAGTTTTTGAAATGTATGCATATGTACGTGACTGGACGCTAGCATGTTGGATTGTGAATGAAACAGTGTTTAGTGCAGCGGTTGACAAATTAGTATGGAATTCAGAAGCCAATCTGTGCAATCCAGTAGCCAGCTCCATTGATGGCAACTAGAGAGAAAAAATATATCTAAAGGGAAAGTAAGGTGGCCAGTAGAGCTGCAGCTAACGATTATTTTCAAAATCGATTAGTTAGCCGAACAGCTGTAAAAAAATGTTTAAAAGCATTGGCTACATGACTCCTGGGATATGTCCGGCCCTGGTCTAGTGTATGTAGGTCTTTTTGACACGTCATGCTTTCCTGCTCAGGAGCGGCAATGTTGATTTTTTTTTTTTTTTGCTGTGCGCTCCAAGCCCACTGGTTTGCCTTACACATATAGATTGTTTGCTTGTGTTTTAGCAGCTTGAACTGTAACGTACATCGCCAGCAATGTTTTGCCAATCCATTACTCAATCACTCTTGTGTTAAGGTTCTCATGATTACTACATTTGTAGTCACTAGATATTGTAGTTTTTCGCATTAGATATGTAGATATACTGTATAAATACTTTTTTTTTTTTTTTTTTTATGGTATGTTAGGGCCGAGCTTCACAAAGAAACATGAATGGTCTGTTAAAGGATAAAATAGCAAAACCAGCTTTTCTTGCAGTGTTCATTTTCAAGCCCAGAGATTTCCCCCGCAGTACTTTTTTTCTGCCACCAGATGTCCTCAGTCTAATGGCCAGCTTCATTCAACAAACTTCCTGAGACCAGGTCGTCCTGGACTCACCCTCAGCCTATAACTAAACAGTGAGAGCAGAAGCAGCACATCTCTCTGTCACTCTGCTTTCTCCTCCCACCAGCATGCTTCTTGTCAGCACATGAACTGATTGGCCCTGTGTGCTGCTTCTTCCTCTCACACTCCAGCCCTGCTGTAAACAGGACTTCAAGAGGCTGATACCTTCAACGTCAGCTACTTACACTGCTTTAAAAATACATTTAATGTTGTTTTGATAATTACAGAGCTATATTTTATATATTTTTTTTTTTTTTTTTTTTTGCCGTACCTCCTTATTGTCCCTTTTTTTTTTTACAGAGAACATATTTTTTTTTAGGCGTGTTCCTGTAAGTCGGGCGTGGTTGTAATGCTTGCTGTAAAATACACTTCTATACCAACCTGTTTTAATTATTGTAATAATATCTCCTTGAGAAAGGGAATGGCTTATATGCTGACAGTATTAACTGTTTTCTTGCCAAACCTAAAGGTACAGGTGCAGTTGTGAAGTGGTGCTGTGATTATTTACTTTTTAATGGCTTTTTTTGCAAAAGTACTGTGTAAAATGTCTCCCTTGCATTAAAATAAAATAAAAATGCACCTGTTTTAAAGATGTAGCTGGTCATAATAGCCCTGGCCTTTTTAGCAGTCGATCTTGACTGCTGAAATTTGCAGTATTCTTGCTATGGGTTACAACATCTTTGATTTAAATGTTTTAAGGCCTTTCAATTGCTGTGTTTTTT